CGCATTATGTCCTGACAGGTGTGTGCATTATGTCCTGACAGGTGTGCATTATGTCCTGACAGGTGTGGATTCTACCATTGTCCTTGATTTGTCTATCTGAATTTGTTGTGTGTAACAGTGAGAGGATTTGTCCTCACCTTGCTGACTGCTGCTGTATGGTTCTAAGCTGGATGTGTTGGTCCATTCGTGGACTCTAATACCCATCTCCCGGGATAGAACGTGGACTGTAGCAGTCTTGCCACAGCCCGATGGTCCAGTCAGTATCAAAATACCAGCCTGTAACTGTAAATACCAAAAAAATAGGGGAAGCATGCTTGTTCCAATTCACACACTTAGGAACAGTTTAACAAGTTTTACTACAAGAAAATGTCAATTCAATCCACTTACCTTTGATGCATCGGTGTGGGTTCTCAACCAGTTCTCTACTTCTTCAATTTTCTTTTTATGGACAGCCAGTTCAGTCTACGTCAACACAAATAAAGCAGCTTGTGACACAGCAGAGTTACATCTTCAGCCAAATCATCCACGTTTAATCTTCTAAACTGTTTGCTTTTTTATCTCAAAATAAAACGATAGCTTAGAAATTCAAAATTCTTCAGTCAGAGGTGAAGTACTTTTTTGGTTACAAGTGTAAGAGAATGTCCTGATGCACACTCAATAATCTTGGTAGATAAATCTAACAAGGTTGAGTCAGGTCCTCTGGATGGATTATTTTTTGTCATCCTATAGTTGTCATAATGACTCGGTGGCTTTCAAACCCCAAAATACATTACGGCAAAGACTGGTTCATCCCAAAGATCCAGTCCCTCGGCACAAACAGAATAATACTGTGTATGCTGTTCAGTGTCAGAGGGCTGTGATCAGTCTTACATCGGGGAAACAAAGCAGCCACTGGCCAAAAGGATGGGCCAGCACAGAAGATCAACATTATCACTTCATCACTTGCTCTTGCTGAGATCGGATGCTTCTCCTCTCCCTCTCCGCTTTACTTTGCTGCTCTGTCTGTCTGTCTGTGAAATTGCTTCTGAGCCTCTCTTGCACATCTTCCGAACCATAATTATGGACTTGTTTTGATCAGTTGGTCCCTCAACACAATTGATAACATTTCTTTGAAGAGAAGACAGGCTTTAGGGGAGCCAATTTGCCCTGTTGGCATGCACACAGCTGGATATCTCATCGACTGGAAGACTTGATGATGCATCTATCTCTGATGCCATTTTTGGATGTTAAGGATGCATATTTAGTAGGATTTTCTATAACTGGTTCCTGCTTTTTGGAGTCGGCTGGTTGCTGGTTTTATCTACAATCAAGGAAGTCGTCGGCAGCAAATTTGGACCCAATCACGCTGCTTGCCTTTATCATGGTTTGGTTCGTGCCTTGGTACCCAGACTCAAATGCTTTGGGAAGAATGGATCAGATCTCAGGGATTTTACTCAGGCACATTCCATTGGTGTGGCCTGGGCCGAATTTTAGCAGGGGCTTACAGGGGCTGCAGCCCAGGGCCCCGGCATTTCAGGGGCCCCGAAGGATGTTTTATGTTTTTGTGAATGGATAGTGTCAGAATTTAATCAATGACTATGATGATTTTGACAGCACCGATGAAAAATGTTCCAATTTGTTCTGGAAAACGTCCATCTTGAATGCTTGCTTGTTATTGGTCCACTTTTGACGCATCTTACGCATTGGGGAGGAGCGCCAGGGAATATTATTTTACAATGGCAGACAAGAGTGTTTGTGGTTCTAGTTCCTCCAAATAAGATGAATGCAGAAGTGTCATTAATAAATGGAAATCTGTATTTTGTTCTTCATATTTTTCAAGATGTTCTCTGTAAAAACCTTGGTCTAGAAGATGAAAATTGTTC